TTTTCCCAGTCTGTAGGTTGCTGTTTTGTTTGTTTGGTTTCCTTCACTGTGAAGAAGCTTTTTAGTTTCATGCTATCCCATTTGCTTATTTTTCCTTTTATATATCTTGCCTAAGAGGATGTGTCCAAAAAGATAATTACTCAGACTGATGTCTAATAGTTTACTTCTTATGTTTTCTTCTAGGACTTTTATGGTTTAAGGCCTTACAAATAAATCCATTTAAAATTAAAAAGTGACTAAGTGAGAAGTTAAGACTGAGAATAGAACATAACTAAAACTTTGGTTTTGACTAACCACCTGGCTTTATAATAAGCCTAAAATACCTCTCCTTTTTCCACTTACATAATTAAAGTGAAGGTAAAAACTAAAAAATTTATACATGTCATGAAAAAGGCAATTTAGTAGAAAAGTCTGTTACCCTGGGCAGCTGGTATTGTATGGTCTGGCTTCCTTGCCTTGGTAGATGAACAAAAATGTGCACCTGGAAGGGCACAGCCTTCAGAAATCTCTTGAAGCACCTGCCTTGGCCCTTTCTTCCTTTTCTCCTCCCATTTATCCTGAATAACAAGGGAAATAGCCAGTGTTAACTGATGTGGTCAGAAAAAATTTAGTGTTTTTAATATGGAGAATTGACATTTATGGCATTAGATTGTTGGGGCTAACAGCAGTGGAGGGACACAGCCCCATTAGAGCATGAAGCTCCTTTCTGCATGCCTCAGGCAGTCTTCGACTGGTATCTCTACTAAGGAGAAAAATTGTTATCTGGGCAATATACTGAAATGCTTGGATGCAAGTGTACACATGAAGCCTTTACCTAAAATAAGGTCTAATTTCAATACTTAAGAATAATGGCAGAATCGGAATTTGAGGGATAATTTTCTATATCTGAAAGTCATATAGTCTTCATTATATAATAAATGCCATTTATTGTGGTATACTATGTCCTAGGTTGGTTAGGTATGTTTACATATATTATGTCATTTATTTTTCACCCTGCAAATGAGGTAGTACTACTTCCATGTTAGTAATGAGAATCTGAAGCTCAGAGAGGTCAAGCAACTTTGTCATACTCACATAGCAAATAGTGGTAGAGTCTGGATTCAAAAAAAAGCCTAGCTGATGTCAAAGTCCATGATTTTAACCATTCTGCTATAATGTATGAAAGGCAATCTGTGATTTTTTTTTTGTATTTTTAGGATTGAAAAGGAGAGAAATGAAAATTGTGAAATGATTTTTGGGCTTTTGAATGTGACCATATAGCAGTGTGATACCACTACCATGTAGAAGAACCACATACTTTTGGAAATAACTGTACTGTGACCCTCAGTAACAGGAGCTGACTGGAAAGAGAATACTTCTGGAATGGTAGAACACGCAGAAAACATGCAACAGGGGGAGTTTCATGTGCTTTTTGTCTGTTTTTCTGTATACCTCCTTCTCCTGCTTGGTGGTATATCTAGACTCCTCAAGTCATATGAACAGTTCAGATCTTTACAGTGAATTATGTGTGTATATCATTGTGCAGCATAAAGGGAAATCTTTCTGTTCATTACCATGTGTGATTTTCACAGAAACTCTGTGAGCCTGAGAGGGCAAGTAATAGAAGCAGCTGCCTTTTCGCTCCTTCCTTAAATGCAACCCAATGTCAAAGATAAAACAGCCCCAAATCAGTGAATTACAGGTGAGAGATTGATGTTCTCTTTAACTTACCTGGGTTCTCAGAAACAGAGGCTACAATAGCTGATCACCTGAAACTTATTCAACTCTTTCTCTTTTCTCCTGAACTCATTTTTTATATTGTTTTTATCTTTCCTAATTTTTCCTTTCCCCATCTTTCCCATATTTTAAATCTTCATTCTTTTTCCTTTTTCTCTGTTTTACTTTTTCTGCATATCAGATTATTCCATAGACTTTAGAAAAATTAATTGAGTGCTGGTTCTAGGTTTGAAGTTGAAATATTATTTAATCCCCAGCAAGAAATCTATTGTGAAGCCTTAGGTGCCTTCTCACTGAGAGACAATTAGTCACGGATTCTAGACATTTTTAAGTGAGGAATTTCCCCTTATGCCTGTTAAAACTATTGGAAAAGGTGACTGAAAGAGAATAGAATCAAGAATAATACAGATCACTCACGTGAAGGCATGGCTGTACTACAGGCTGGGGTTATTAATATAACCTCTCAATCAAGGACTATCTACTGACTTCCTATAGGTATCTTAGTATATAATATGGGCTATATGCATATGACTAATGATAGCTAATATTAATGGGCAACTTCATATTATATAATTCAAGGCATTTCCCTCACATTGTGTATATCTTCCTTCCTTTTTCCTGTTCAGTTCTCTCTAATTCCTAAAGAACTAGGTCAATATCTATGCCCTGGTGTAGCCTTCCCCTCCTGCTCTTGCTGACATGAATTATCTTCTACTCCCGATCCCCAAAAAACCCTCACCAAATATTCATCTTACTATTCACCTTACATGTATACCACATTAGATTGTATTTGTTATGTGTGCCATTCATATATTTTCAACGGTTTTCTTGGTTCTTTGACTTATAGGAATCAGCAAAAGAACAAATCACTATGAAAGAAATCTTTCAGTAAAAGCCACAAGAAGTAATTGGGATTTTAATTGAAGTATGAGGATAATGGAAGTTATAAAGACCAAGAGAATGGGCTTCTTAAGAACATTACCTTAAGTTTTTTAACAGTTGTAGTGACCAGATACAGAACCAACAAAATAAGAATCTTTACACAAATCGTAAGAGCAGGAAAAGTAATCACTTCCCCAAATACAATTAACTATTTATTGTTCTAGTCAAATGACCTTTAATTAAGCAGACTTTTCATATTTGCTTGTCATTAGCCTGTTATATAATTTAGCATTAATAATGGACACTTTGTGTGAATGAATGTCCCTAGTTAGTTTTGGTTTTATCCAGGAAAAAAAAAATCACTGTTTTCAAATTTTTAAAAACTTAATTACTTTCTCCCATATTTGTCTTTTTGGAGTAAAATCAAGAGACCTAACTTTGGTGCCCAATTCTGACAAATGTGTGACTCTGGGAAATTCAGTTTATTTTGCTGAGTCTCCGGTTTTCCATCTGATTGATAACGAAATGGAAAATGGCCTTTAAATAATCCCATGAGAATTTTCTTCTCATCACAATGTAGACATGTGCTTTTTCTCACTAAGGGCTTGGATCTTTTTCAACAGCTACTGAATTTCCTGGGTCCCTCCCCAGTGTCTCCATCCCTCCTCTCCGTGCACATTCATCCTATCAGTCCTCTCCTACCCTGATGAGCAGCATATGTAGTTGTCCCCAGCACCCCCACCCCCGACTTCAGGCTCTAGGTTTCTGATAATAAAAAGTGTGCACCTTGAGAATGTGGACTACTGGCTTAAGAGATGACGGTACAATTACCATGTGTAAGTGAGAATATAGTGAGATTCATGCCAGTGATGTTGACCCCGAATTGGGGTCAAGACACAATGGCAGCCTCGGTGAGTTTTGTGATCTGGAATGAATAAGGGCACCAATCACAGGGCCCTTTGTCTGAGAAGGTCTGGAGTTGTAGCTGCAAAAATGAACGATGTTCTATTGTATTTCATCAACTCCTAAAATGATTAACTTGTATTAAGTGTTTTCAGGAACTACTCTCTACTATTGGGAATGATTGAGGTTGTTACTGGAAATGAAGAAACATAACACTGTTCTCTGTTCACCCTCCACATCCCATACAAATACAATACATATTAAAGGACTTAATCTCCAGTGTTACGTTTTGTATTTTATGGCTTAAGATCAAGAAGAAAGCTTATCTGCCCTCACAAAATATGTCTTATTTATGTTTGATATTCCTCTTATTTTTATAATCATAAATCAAAAGCATACAATACAAATTTCCTTGAACATAAAATATCTGAATGTATCTCAAAGTAAGGGTAATTTAAAATTTTAGAACAGGTTACAATGCAGGAAGTTCTTAGTACTCTAAGGGCCAGTGGATATAAAAGATGTCACCAAAGGTAGGCTGAGACACTGATGAATTAAAATTTAATATCTCAAGTGTTCCAAGTGTTGGTTCTTAATACGTTCATGTATATGGACTGAAAAAACTGTTTGCAGAACTACTTTATATTTTTAGTGGCTATTGTTAGTCATGTACCTTAGCTAAACTCTGTTGAAATCTCCCAAATACATATTTATTAGGCCTGTGGAAAACCTCGCATCACTAGGAGGCACAGGCTCCTTATGAAAGTCTTGCAGAGGATTGAGGCTGGCTTAGGGCTTTGTAGCTATGCAAAATAGTGTGGGAATTAGAGGCACTCAGGATAGAAGTGGACATGATAAAGTGTGATAGAAAATAGTGCTAGTTTGATTTTTCTATTAGAGTCCTCATACTTCTCTTGTTCTAGTATACTGAGAAGCTCCCCAATTTCACATACCCCAGTCTCTTTATTCAGTTTCTAGCTACAACCAATCTTAATTCAATCTTGACTCACGTTAGGAACTTTTCACTCCAGGTATTGTAGCCCATCAGTTAATCATATTTTCCTCTCATCCCTGCTTTTTCTGTCAGTGGGTTGTGAGAACAAACTGGAAAAAGAAAAGGATTATGAGAATATACATAAAAGCAAGATGAAATATGTTGAAAATGAGGGATAGTCAATATCAGAAGTGATTTAATCAGGTGATGAATGTCATGAACACTCATGAATCTTTTGTTCTTGCTTAATCTGTTAATTTGAGAACTGGACGTTGCAGTAAGAGTTTTGGTGATAGGTTTAAAATGTGTTGCAGTTCATATGCTATAGTAGTATGTTGACTTTTGTGTTTTGTTTTTGTATATTTACGGAACTGGATAACTATATACTTTTCATCTGTAGGGAGAACATTGAAATTCTTTGATGTATTGTCATCTCTGTAATCACAATTTCCTCTTCATTTTCTTAGTTCTCATAATTTCAGCCACAGCCCAGTTGGGTGGATCAATGGATGGAGTAAATCACTCAGTTGTGTCTGAGTTTGTGTTTCTGGGACTCGCCCATTCGTGGGAGATACAGCTTGTCCTCCTGGTGTTTTCCTCTGTGCTCTATGTGGCAAGCATGACTGGAAACATCCTCATTGTGTTTTCTGTGACCATTGATCCTCACTTACGCTCCCCCATGTACTTCCTCTTAGCCAATCTCTCCTTCATTGACTTAGGAGCCTGCTCTGTCGCCTCACCAAAGATGATTTATGACCTTTACAGAAAGCGCAAAGTCATCTCTTTTGGAGGCTGCATTGCTCAAATCTTCTTCATCCATGTCATTGGTGGTGTGGAGATGGTGTTGCTCATCGCCATGGCCTTTGACAGATATGTGGCCATATGTAAGCCTCTCCACTATCTAACCATCATGAGCCCGCGAATGTGCATTTTGTTTACAGCTGCTGCCTGGGCCGTTGGCATCGCTCACTCACTGTTCCAACTGGCATTTATTGTTAATTTGCCCTTCTGTGGCCCTAATGTAATGGACAGCTTTTACTGTGACCTCCCTCGGCTCCTCAGACTGGCCTGTACAGACACCTACAGATTGCAGTTCATGGTCACTGCCAACAGTGGTTTTATTTGTGTTGGTTCCTTCTTAATACTCCTCATCTCCTATATCTTCATTGTGTTTACTGTTTGGAAACACTCCTCAGGCAGTTCATCCAAGGCCCTCTCCACTTTGTCAGCTCACGTCATTGTAGTCTTTTTGTTCTTTGGCCCAACTATGTTTGTCTATACATGGCCACATCCCAATTCACAGATGGACAAGTTTCTTGCATTTTCTGATGCTGTGCTCACTCCTTTTTTAAATCCAGTCATCTATACATTTAGGAATAAAGAGATGAAGGCAGCAATGAAGAGAGTATGCAAAAACTTAGTTGTTTACAGAAAGATCTCTTAAGAGAGAGAGTAAGGCCTTTTCACTAACCATGGTGTAGCCTTCTGTGTCTATCTTTGACATTTTAGATCAGGAAGTTTGAGGCGTCATATATTAATTTGTATGTTATCAAATATTTAACATAATTTTTAACTAACAAATGCATTTATTCCATAGGAGGAGTGAGTCACGGAAACAGTATGTCTATCTATGTAAGCCCCTTAAAATTTTTTCAGATATGTTAAATACTTTTCAGTGAACAGGTCTTACATATCTTTTTGAGATTTATCCTTAAGTATTTAAATATTTGATACTGTTTTACACAGTTGTTTAATTTATAATTATTTATTGCTAATATAGTAAATATAATAGAACTTTTGACATTATATCCTGAAGATTTGTAAAACCTCTTACTTCTAGTTTTTTTTAATAGATTAAGTAAGATTTTCTTCATAGATGATCATGTTGTCAGTGAATAAATGCATTTTACTCCTTTTATTCTAGTGTGGATTATTTTATTCATTTTTGTTGCTGTATTGCAATTGCTATTATTAAGTATATAGGTTTTTCATAGATGCCCTCTATCAAGCCGAAACAGTTCCTCTCTATTCAGTTTGTTGATTATTTAAAAAAAAAAACATATATTTTACTCACTATGCTATTACAGCTGTCCCAAATTTTTCTCCTTTGCTCCACTCCACCTGGTACCCTCATTCCTTCCACCAATTCTCTCCCTTAGTTCATGTCCATGGGTCATGCATATAAATTCTTTGGCTACTTCAGTTCCTATACTCTTCTTATCCCTCTGCCTATTTTGTATCTATCAATTTGTGCTTCTTAAGCCCTGCACCTTTCCCCCTTTCCCCTTCCAACTGATAACCCTCCAAATGATCTTTATATCTGTGATTCTGTTCCTGTTCTGTTTGCTTAGTTTGTTTTTTGTATTCAGTTATTGATAGTTGTGTATTTATTGCCATTTTAATGTTCATCATTTTGATCCTTTTCTTATGTAATTCCTTTTGGCATTTCATATAATAATGGCTTGGTAATGTTAAACTCCTTTAGCTTTACCTTGTTTGGGAAGCACTTTATCTGTCCTCCAATTCTAAATGATAGCTTTGTTGGATAGAGTAATCTATGTTGTAGGTCCTTGCTTTTCATCAATATAAATACTTCTTGCCAGTTTCTAGCCTGCAAAGTTTCTTTTGAGAAATCATCTGACAGTCTCTTGGGAATGCCTTTGTAGATAACTCTCTGTTTTTCTCTTGCTGCTTTTAAGATTCTCTCTTTATCTTTAACCTTTGGCACTTTAGTTATGATGTGTCTTGGTGTGTCCTGTTTGGGTCCATTTTTTGGGGGGACTCTCTGTGCTTCCTGGACTTGTATGTCTATTTCCTTCACCAAATTAAGGAAATTTTCTTTCATTATTTTTTCAAATAAGTGTTCAATTTCTGGCTCTTCCTCTTCTCCTTCTGGCACCCCTGTGATTTGGATTTGTTTGTTTAAAGATGTCCTAGGGGCTCCTTAGCCTTTCCACATTTTTTTCAAATCTTTTTTTCTTCTTGCTTTTCTGATTGAATGCTTTTTTCTTTCTTGTGTTCCAAATTGTTGATTTGAATCTGAGCTTCAACCCCTCCACGGTTGGTTCCCTGTAGATTTTTCTTTAGTTCACTTAATGTAACTTTCATTTCTGTCTGCTTCTTTGTTTCTTTTTTATGCTGTTGAAGTACCCAGTGAGTACCTGCTGCATCCTGATAACCAGTGTTTTGAACTCTGCACCTGATATGTTGCTTATCTCCATTTTATTTAGTTATTTTTTTGGGGTTTTGTTCTGTTATTTTATTTGGGCCATATTTCTTTGTCTCCTTATTTTGGCAACCTCTCTGTTTTTGTTTCAGTGTATTAGGGAGGGCTGCTTTGACTCCCTGTTTTAGTAGTGTGGTCGGTAGAAGAGTGCACCTGTAACATGTATGGGGCAAAGCCTTAGGAGATCACCAGAGCAGAGCAACCTGTGCCACCACTCTGTTGGTCTGTGTGGGAGGGGGCTCACAGAGGTGGCAATACCACTGCCTGGCCTCTGGAGTTTTTCCCAAGAGAAAGCTGTCTCCTGGCACTCACCCCATTGCCGGTCATTTCACTTTCTCCCCTTATGCCACTGGTGCCCTTTCAGCAGTTGCCCTGGTGCTGAATCCCAGCAGGGTGGATTTTCAGAGTCCTAAGTCCATTGTGAGCCCTTTAAGAGGAGTCTCTTGAGAATCCCACAGTTTATTTCACCACCCCAACACCCACTGGTTTTTACAGCCAGAAGTTATGGGGACTTATGTCCCTGGTGCTGGAACTCCTGGCTATATGGTCTGGTATGGGGCTGGGATCCCTCACTCGCGAGGTATACCTCTTGATTTTTATCCACCACATGTGGATGTGGGACTGCCTGTTCCCCATTACTTCACCTCTCTGCACCACTCCATATCTCCTTGTCTCTCTGTGCCTCTCCACCTCTCCATGCCTCTCTGCACCACTCTGCACACCTCCTTGTCTTCACCCCTCCTACCCATCTGGATGAAAGTGGCTTCCTTAAATCTTTGGTTGTCGTACTTCCATACAGCTTGACTTTCTGAATATCTGGGTGATATTTGCTTGTAGTCTAGTTGTAACTTTTGCTCTACTTGTGCAAGGAGGTGAAGCATGTGTACCTATCCCTCCATCTTGATTGGAAGTCCTGTTGAATGTTTTTAAAATCAGGAATGAATGTTGGATTTTGTAAGATGCCATTTCTGGTTTAGTATCATGGTAATGCTGGTCTTTTGAAAAAAATAAATTTATCAGAGTGATATTGGTTAATAAGATTTTGTCATTTGTACACTGTATTGTGTGTTAACCACCCCAAGTCAAGTCTGTGTCTATTACCAGTTATCTCCTCTATACCCTTCTCTCATTCTCCTCCCTCTTTCCCTTGGCAGTCACCATGCTATTGTCTGTGTCCACAGGTATTTTATCTCTTTCCCCCTTTTTTGCTCAATCACTCTACCCACACAGACCCCTCCTGCTCCCAACAACCATCAACATGCTCTCTGTCTGTGAGTCTGTCTCTATTTTGCTTGTTAGTTCATTTTGTTTATTAGAATTCATCTATGAATGAAATCCTGTGGTACTTGTCTTTCTCAGGCTGGCTTATTTCACTTAGTATAACCCTCTCCAGGTCAATCCATACTTTCACAAAGGGTAGGATTTCCTTCTTTTTTTTTATGGCTAAGAGTACATTTCTAACACATGATCTGCATATTGCATTGTATGCCCACCATCCAAAGTATTATCATCTACCATATTTGGCCCCCTTTACCTTTACTACCTTCCAACCCCCTTTCCTTTTGTCTATGAGTTTTTGTTTGTTTGTTTTTATTGTTTATTCATTTGTCACTTTCAGTTTTAATATATATTTCCTCATTTTAAATTTATTGCAAGAGTTTTTTTAGAATTTATATGATTTCTTTCTAAAATACTTGGTAAAATTCACCAGTCAAGTCTTCTAGGTCTGGATTTTTCTCTGTGGGAAAGTTTTCAAGTATAAATTCAATTCTTGGTAGTTTGTATATCCCAAGATATTTGTACATTCATCTATATTGTCAAACTTATTGTAATAAGCTGTTTTCAATATTCCCGTATCATTTTTTAAAATACCTATAAGATGTGCAATATTTCCCCCTCTCTTATTCTGAATGTTGGTAGTTTGTGTCTTTTTTCTTTTATCTTAACTGATTGGCTAGAAGTTTTTCAACTTCTTAATTTTCTCAGAGAACCCAGTTTTCATTTCATTTATTTTTCTCTAATTGCTGTTTTCTATTTTAAATTTCTGCTTTTATATTTGTGTTTTTTCTTGATTTTTAATTTACCTTCTTTTTCTACTTTCTTTAGGAAGAACTCATCATCTTTCATTTGAGAAACTTCTTTTTTAATATAGGCATTTAGTTGTATTAATTTTCCTTTAAGCACTACTTTAATGGAATCACAAATTTTCATATATCTTGCTTTCTTCTCGTTCAGTTCAATATAGTTTCTAATTCTTCTTTTAATTTTTTAACACATGACCTATAATTTCTGTGAAAAATTTCCAGATATCATTCTGTTAATGATTCTAATTTATTTTTATTGTAGTCACTAAACTACTTTGTATGATTTGAATAGTTTTAAATTTATAGATGCTTCTCTTATGGCCCATAAGATAGAAGTTTCCTGTCACACCTTTTACTTACCACTGAACAATTTGCAGAGACTGGCCTTCCTGGGATAGTTAATAACATAGGAAAGGGGAGGGCAACAGTTTACAGCTGGTGCTGCTCTATGAGATTGGGAATAAGCATGGAACTGAAGTTTATTTCCTGGATAAAGGGGACCTAATCCCCAGAAATTTAGAGTGCCCCATGTGAAGGCAAGTTCTTACTCATATTGAGTGTTAAAAATCTGGAAAATCCAAGAATTCTGGGTTAGCTGTCAACAAAGAAAAGGAGTGGGTGTCTTCTTGTGGCTGGCACTGTTCTGCAAGAATGGGAAAAAGAACAGAACCAAGGTTTTCCTTCAGGAACCCAGGAAGAAAGCTAAGAAGGCTATGTTCCCCAGCATTAAAACATACAGTCTGAAGGATCTTGCTTCATATTAAGCACTGTTCACTGGTGAAGACCTGTCCCAGTAAAAACCAGCTGATAAAAACTGGGAAAGGAAGTTGTAATGCCCTGATAAAAAAGCAAACCTACAAGGAACATAAAGAATCATGAAACATCACAGTCCAAGGAAGAAAACAAATCTTCAGTAATCAGTCATAAAGATATGGAGATCTGTGAATTGCCTGAAAAATAATTCAAAATAATCATCTTTAGAAAGCTCATAGGCAGCTAAATGAAATCAGGAAAGCAATATTTGAACAAAATGAGAATATCAACACAGAGATATATATGGTGGGAAAAAGAATCAAACATAAATACTGGAGTTGACTAATACAGTAATTGAACTGAAAAGTTCACTAGAGGGGGTTCAAAAGTAGAATTGA